TTATTTGGTTTGTTCTGCCTACCAGAATAATCTTCTATTAACTGGCCACGTTGCTTACATTAATTGCGCTTATCTTCGGTAATTTTGTTGCGTTTGTAGCGTTTTTAAGTAACTTGTGGATACTTTTTACTTATCGCGGATTCGTTGCTAACCAACTTACTTCATATGCCAATTAAACGAAGTTATGCCAACGTATCTCCATGCATTATTCGATTTAGTTTATTTCAGCTTGTCGTTTAAAGTGATTGGCTGTTGCTTGATATCCCCGGTGTACCTGCGCTTGAGGCGTGTTGACAAGGTGCCTACCTGTCTACTACCCGCCACCTCGTCCATACAGGTTCCGGGAGATAGTTGGTCGTTGCTGGAGGGGACGGGGTGCACGGTCCTTGTGGTCGTGCTACGCTCAAAGAGCGGTTCCATGCACTCAGTGTGGAGCGGACTACGGTCCAGCCACCGCCTTGTGTGTGCTTGATTCCCCACATACAGCGTGCTTGTTTGCCTGTGAAGGAGTGTGGGCCGGCTCCGTTGATGAAACGTGGCTCCCATCCACATGTCTCCCGGTCTTATTCCTTCGGGTTTACACTAGATATGGGATGTGTGGTTGGAGCTGTGGGTGGTGCAGCGCAAACCATCCATGGTCCCTCTGTAGTCGCAGGCGTTCTGTGTGGTTGGCCACGATGACAGGCAAATCGGAAACCGGATGCCGCTAATCATATATATATATATATATATATATATATATATATATATATATATATATAAGCATAGTAAAGTAGTCTACAATAGATATACATCCAACAAAAAAGCTATGGAGAACAATGGAACGTGCAGCTATGGTAGGAAGAAAAAAGAACACAACACAGGAATCTATGGTTTTTTATCTAAGGGCGCTGTACTACCCGGTTTCCCAGGTGGAAGTTGGAAATTGTCTTAAGGGACACGACTCCGAGTGTTGGGCTTAAGTGCCTACACGCAAGACAGCTGGATGAACTCAGGGAATCGCGCGCTCATTCGGAGTCGGTAACTGATTGCTTATCCCACCAGCTTTCCGTTTGGTCAGTTGCCAAATAGGAGCTCAATCCTCCTCGTGAATTCAGCAGAAAGCTGTTAGAATACAATGCTCCACCGGTGCAAGGGACAGTAACTGTATTTAGCGACGAGTAACATACGCCAAGTCGCAGTGTTGTTAAACTGACATATGTGGCTTTTATAGAGAATGTTTTGTCAGGCGAAAACCCACCACGTCCTAGAACGTTGCAGCTGAACTATTTGTTGGAACAGGAGAAACGAAACCACTCGGTTGACAGCACGTGAAAGTTGTCCTATAAAGCGTTCAAATACTGATGTGAATCCTATCCGGGAAGACGATAAGCAACAGGAACAAGGGTTTGCAATGAGCCTAAAACCGTTTCTTCCGTAAGAAGCAGAACTCTAAAATGGATGACTGTACTCAACGCAGCCTGACAGGAGTACGGATCATCACCAAAGCCAGATAATTGGAACAAATACGTAGCCCGCTACACCAAAAAGCGCAGATATGACAAAGTCGCAAAGCAGAATATGGCGAAAACTTTCAACACTACCATAAACTGCTGTACAAATATGTCAGTGGCCGTCGTGAGGCAGGAAATTTCTCCACTCCGGACGGCTGATAGTCCAACTAGAACAGATATCGAAGCAGCAAGCGGGTTGAGGACGCGATGTGCTCTCACATTCCAGGGTCTTACCATCAGACCAACTTTCAGCTTTTTTTTCGCATCCAGGACTAACCCACATCTCTTTTATTGCCGAAGCTGTATTGCAGTAGCTGACGTCTCTGCGCAACCACAACTCCCCGGTAATCGACACCATGCGCCCAGAGGCACTAGGAGCAGCAGCAAAACAACTGGTAAAACCGTTGGCCCAGTTTTTTTAGCGCTGTTTAGAACAGAACCAGATTCTTATGATGTGGAAGCTTGGAATAATAGCTCCGATGCACAAAGGCGGAAGCAAGACTGATCCCTCAAACTACCACCCTGTGTCTCTTCTCCCTGTATTGTCCAATATCATGGAATCCACCGTTGCCGATGCTTTGGTGTGTTAATTAGAAAATTGTAACATTACGGCTCCCGAGTAACACGGCTTTCGTCGATAGCGATCGTGCACAACAATTCTATCAATCGCACAGAGTAACTGGACCGAGTCAGCTGACGCTGGAGAGGCGGTTGATGTGATCTACTTCGATTTATCGAAGGCATTCGATCGTTTAAATCACCGGATTCTCTTTCCAAACTTCAAGAGTACGGGATCAGTGACCCTCTCTTGAGCTGGATCGCCAACTTTCTCGTGCAACTACAATCAGCGGTGTGAGTCCGGAGTAAGTTATCTGAACCCTTACCGATCGATTCCGTTGTGCCCCAGGACTCAGTTCTAGGTCCACTACTGCTTTTGATGTTCATCAGTGACCTTGCACAGAATCTCGCTTCAAATGTCCTGATGTTTGCTGACGAAATCAAGACATGGCGATAGATTCAGGCGGATACCGATCAGAACTTACTTCAGTGTAACCTAGATATAGAACATGAACGGTCGACAAGAAATCTGTCATAGTTCAACATGGACAAATGCAAGATAATCTCCATACGACATCAAGTACTTATTCCTACAACCTGGGAACGCAAGTGCTTCAGCTGTTATCCGTCGAACACGACCTCCACGTGCTTGTTCAGGATAACTTGGGTTGTTCCAAACAATCAGCAATGACATTAAAAACTGATAACCAGCACTTCGGCTTGCCACAACGGGCTTTCTTTCAACTAGACACCACTAATTTCAGACAGATGCTTAATGCGTATGCTCATCCCCATGCTGAATACACAATCCAAGCCTGGCAGCCAAGGACCAACCTCAACGACGAGCTTGCAAATATGTCATTGGAATTCGCCACCTTCTGTACGAGCAGAGGCTGAAACGTTTGGGAGTATTCAGCGGGCGGAATCGCTGACTACGAGGCGACTTGATGATGGCGTATTTGGTTTTAGACAATACACTTATTTACCGCAACTCAGCAGTAACAACAAACTTACAGGTCACTCCTTGAATGTAACAGAATAGTACAGCCGCCTGGCGTACGGTAGATAATTCGCTTCCGTTCGTGTGTGTCAAGCATGGAAAGCTCTTCCCGAATAGGTTGTTTCAACACCCACGCTAGCCTAGTTAAAAGTCGGTTGGATGACGCACTCTGCCACTTAGATTTTGTTACTTGACGCTACTCTCCATTCTACTCCCGGGAAATACCATGGATTTATTTTTTCGCCTACTGAAGCTATGGAAGCACTCGGAGTGCAGGGCTACTGCCTTACATGCGATAAGTCCATTCTTTTGACAGTAGAACTACCAACGGCATTTCCTTCAGTAACGTTTTTCGCTAACCCGCCAGACCACCCAACTTTAGCTTGTAAACTAGTGCTTCTTAACAGACATAAAATCATTGTTCATTGTGTAACAGCGATTTAGTCTTGTAGGGAGCTTTTTCATGCTCTTGGGCCATGTCACTGCCTAGTGACCTCGGGGTTTCACTTAAATAGGCACGGTGTTGACAAACGGTAGACTCCGAGACAGCCGACCGGTGGGCATGTGACTGAGCCGATGACGTCGACCCAAGTTCAAAAGGCATTCCATCAGGTGGGGGGAAGGCTGCAGGGTCAGTTGCTCGATAGCACATGACGAACTCCGGTGTTATTCACTCGCCTCCACCAGAAATGGGGAGTGCCTTACAGACGTGCTTCATTTGCGAATCTCGATGATCCCTACGGTAACAGTGACCTCACGCCACAGCGCTGTGGAAGTTTCCCCCCGGACACTCCATTCACACCCTCCCGTATCCACAACTAGCCTACGATTTGAAAAAGCGCCTGCTTTTATCGGCGTTCACTTTAATTTTGCTTGTACACTGCATTATAGTCAGCGCACAGAGTATGAGAGAAAGCGGTGTTCCAGGTGGGTGACCCTTAGTGTCAAAAATTTTGAACAGCAGAATAAATTATTGAGCCATTATCAGTTTTAATCGATTAGTGTGTAAACATACTATCTACCTCTGAAAATAATAGCTGATCTCATAAGTTCGGAATATTTTGAATGCAAACCGGTATTGGATAAGGTTGTATTGTGACCACAATGCTAACTGAACCGCTTTGTATTCAAAATCTCAACTTGGAATCATTAATCAGTTCCAAGCCTAATTCGAGTTGTGTATTCCCTGAGTTCTAAATTCATGGCTTAAAATTTATTGATTTGTTTAAAAGGTGAATGTGTAATTCAAATTGGACTTCGTAGTTCCAGTGTTTCATTTCGACATTATGCTGATACGAGGACGAGGACACTTTACGGATGTTTCAGCAGAGTTGTGATTAGTGGACCCACGCGGTCTTTTAACGGAAACAAAGTTCAGAGTGGACCTGGGCTGTAGATGTCACGACGCTTTATTAGATTATATCCGTACGGCTACATATTACAGCGGTTATGAGAACAAGTTGTCCTATTCCACAATAGCGAAACGACCTCGGTTGCCCTAGGCAACATGTAGCAACCATAGCCACACCACAACACAAGACTCATGAAATAAAAGTATACTGATTATCTTACATTCGGCTGGACGTGATTGTGTCAGCTGTTCAGCTGGGCAACTAGCCAAGATTGTTATTGGAACGGATGAGGTTGAATTCAAACAGACTTCATTGGGGGGTTAGCCAAGTTTAAATCCATAGAAATAGCATCTGAAGTATGTAACACAGAGTATGATAAGATTAAAACATCCCATACATCAGAAACCATGCCAACAGTACCAGCCCTTAGTGTGATAGGACGAAATTGGACACAGTACGCATTTACAGCTTATCGGGAGCTTTTGGATAATTCGAGTCGGCCGCACTATCGTGATAAACCTGTTTGGGTCAGTCTTTTGAATACACCGATGTTGAAAAATATGACAACACATATCTAGTTACGGGACTAGAACTCACTGGGAACAATTGATTTGCCTCCGGTTTCATCTGACACACTCGTAAAGCGGAAGACTGTGACGAATAGTCCGTCGAGTTGGCTGCCTTCGGTAGTTTGGATCGTCGACTGGAACCTGGAGGTCTTCCTTTATGCCCATTTGGACTACGCACAATGGTGCTCATGGCGTGTGGCACATGTCGGTGCGCGGTAGTCGAATCAATTCCATTACTTTCCGATACATCTTGCACAGTGCCTGCACCATGTTCATTATTCGTTAGTCGGTTGGCGCCGGTGACGCCTTTGGATCTGGAGTGACGACGATGCAACTCCTCTTGTTCCGCAATGTCACCGTGTCGACTCTTCAAATGATTGAGCATCGTTGTCGTTGTGCCGGAAGCGTTAAATGCCAGCTGACTATCACACAATATGCATTGGGTACGACTACGGTCTAGCACACCAGATGTCAGTTCAGGATGATGAAAGTATTTCCATACAAATGACTTTTTCGCGCATGCCTTTGGAATACCGATGCCGTTCAGTTTGCCTCCTTTGAGCACGTGAGCAGAACGCGCGGAAGGGTTATGCTGAGCGGATTTCAAGCCAGATTCGGGTGTGGGTGTCACTGACTGACATCGGTTTACTTTGGATGGTGCTCCATCGCTGCCTTCCTCCTCATCCGGCTGATGTGTAGTCAAAATCGTGCTCGATGATTTGGAATTGCAGTGAACTTCAGAGTAGTGGGCCTCTTCGGTGGATGAATACGACTGTAGATCAGCATGTCCTTCCTCCATGCCGTCATCGCCGTCCTCGTCTCCGTCTTCTCCGTCATCGTCATCTTCGATGGCTGACATTCCGCACAAACTACCACGGATATCAGTGAAAGTCGGTCTTTCCGAATCGTCGATATCCCTGTCTAACGCACACTCTTCCCCCTCAATATGGAAATCTGCCAACTCGGACGGAACAGAACTTTTCGATTTTTTTGGCCTTGTAAGGGTGGCACCAGGAAAAGCTTGATGCAGTGACTGAGATTCAAGCATTTTTACAGTGGACTCCGTGTTCGCAGCAGTGTATCCGGTCTCGGTCACTATGCCAGCAGTGGCTTTTATGATTCGTGACACCGTTTGCGTCTTGCCACCGTGGTGAATGAACGGTCTTCACGTGTCGTTGTCCCGATAGTGATGGTTGCGGTGGTGGTGGTGGTGGTGGTAGTGTGGTGACGGAGTTGGTTCCGACCCTTCCCTGTCTCTCTCACATTCACTGCGTCGTGTTCGCGCACGCGCGTGCTCGTCACAGCCGGAAAGCGAGCGAGCTAGCGAACCACCAACCAGTCAGCCTGCGAACTGGTGAGAGAGAGGACGAGCCTATCAGCGGTCCGCCCATTCGCTCTCTGTCTGTACCCTTCTACATTCGTCCATCCGCCTCGAACGTTAGCGAAGCGGATTGGTGTGACATCCACGACCGAAATGCCGCTCTAGCGGGTTTGATTGGCAGGATGTCGACTGAGATCAAAATTATAGACTGAAGTGGGCGAGTGAGTGGATGTTCACCTCGCGTGCGCACGTTCATATGTAAGCGAAGGGGGCCGAATGTGAAAGACCCCCTTCCAACGACTCCGAAGACCACGGCGCCGATCGATCGGATCGGTGCTCACCGAAGCAGTGTACGCCTCGTTCCCCCCTGTGTATATCAATCGACCATGTGATTGGCAAGCCACACCAAGCTCAGCATCCTGATTGGTTTGATAAGGAAAGAATCACGAATTGATTGGTTCACTTCACAGCCGTTCGCTTTGCTTAAGCACCGAGGTTGACCGAAGGGCGTGCCGTCGATACTTGGGTGTGTTGGTGCGGCGGACCGTGCTGCTTCCGGGCTCGGCTGTCAACACTTATCTCAGGTGGGAATCGTCTAGGGCGCTAGTGTGTGTATTCACAATGATGCTTCTGATGTTACTTCGACACGTGGTGTGTTGGCAATTGGACGCGTTGGCCACTAGTTCCCAAGAAATACCCAGTCCTCAAATCACAGCGAGGTGGTTAAAAATTGTTATAGAGTAAATAAGTAAATATATACTATATTTCTCAACGGTGCGAGACACTGACCAACTGCGTTGTCTGATCAGTATGTACAGCATACTCTGACGACAGAGAAAATTTTGAATTTTACAATGTAGGTCTCAGAGAAGTTTCACGGTGTTCAGTTGGTTAAAAAAATAGAGTTAAGGAAAATAGATCATATGAATAAATGTAGAAATAACCAGCAGTTTAAGGTAGTAGGGAAGTGGTCGCGTACTGTACGTGGGTGTGGTGCGGCACCTGTTGGTACGATCCGAAGTGTGAATTGAAGTGATTATAGCATGAATCGTCGAAAGTGGACCGTGTTCGCTGTGACTACCCTCCTGCACCAGCTGGAAAAGGTGTTGTGGAACATTCTATGGGCAAATTCAACAATGACAGCGAATACCTAAAGATTTATCCATTTGCAAACGCTGGCTTGCAAGTTGGATGGGGACTATTGGCGAGCTGCTGACTTAATGACACACCATCCACAGGATTGAACATTCCAGGTAGTGCGAACAGAGAGTTGAACCCCAAACGAAGACAATACCAGGGTCTTGTGATCAACTGCCCGCTTCTCAATACTAGAAACTATGAGACAAGTGATTTTCCCAGGTTTCTCACCTTGGAATTTGTCGAAAGAGGGACCAGGTTGCACGGGATTACCGGGGATCACCTCGCCGATGTAACTCGAGTATGTTTTATTGTAGTGGGATAAAAGGCGAGAACTGACTACCATTTACAGGGTCCCAGCAAATTCGTTAATGTGAGCCCTCCTTGTACCGCCTATTCCTCATGTTGTATCCGTGATTGATTCCACCCACTAACGGTAGTGAGAACACGATATGAGACGCAATCTAGCTTATATCTGAACTGAATCTTAGGTTGAGTCCCGTTCAAATGCTGCAGTTTTGCGCATTTGGCTAGGGTAGCTTGCATCGACGATCGATCAACCAGGCTCGATTGATTCCTTCCGCTACTATCTCCAGCGCTGTGTGCCGAAGCGTAGCATGAGGGGGACGGGAGGCAGTCCGCCCCGGGCAGCACGTGACGGGGTTTTATGTATGAGGCAAGCGAGTGATCGCTAGCAAATATAAAAGCAAAATATCCGGATAAGCTGAGAGTTGACAATGTTAATGTTACCCTGTATGACCAACAACACAGTTGTGCCATGTGTCACACATGTGCAAATGCTATTCCCAACAATCCCCTTACTTGTCCCATTGTGGTTACTTTCACCATATTTATCTTACTGTCCCAAACGGTCATCCATTTCATCGAAAACTAAGGTGCACTTTACCCTGAGCCGATTGTGTGGCTACAACCGCCTATTCTATCCACAGTCAGGAAGAAAATTCTGCTAGGGGCCCTGGTGTCACTAGTAGTTGCTGCGCCACTGACTGTGACAGAGCTAACCATAGGTGCTAGAAAGTATGCAACGGAATATTTTCGACTATTACGAGGCGAACAATGTAAGTGCATAGCAAAGATGAGAAGGCATTGCTGCGGATAAGTAACTATTATGTTCCAAAAAAGCAGCAGACAAAAGCAGCACGGAAACGTATGTATGGAGGAAACTGTCCGCAAACACGCGCAGTACAATTAAATCGATTGGGATTCGCATTGCAACCATTCAAATGCAAGGTCACATGATAGGCCAACGAGTGCTAATTAGAAGTGTGAGTAGGATAAGCGAGTTGATGGCAGAAATAAAGCAGTATTTGAACACGACATTGTTCCCTGCTCAGTTCATAAAAGTATAAGCACTACATGTCCATGAATGATCTAAGTTAATGTCAGCATCCCGAAGAAGTGTCATGTGGTGTTATCCGTTAAAGCGTATGAGTAGACAGAGCGGCGTATCCGACCGGAACGTCGTAAGTTTGTATTAGTTTGTACCGAGCGCTGTGTTGTAAGTGTGTTCGTCTGTTCAATAGCACGTTTGGAAAGCGCTGTATGCAGCCGTCTTGCATTCACTTTTGTCCCATCAGCCAACTTGTAAATTCCTGGCGTGCACACCGATTCCACACGGGTCGGCGGTCCAAATACATTACCTCCTTTCCGGGAATAGGGTAGTCTCACACGAACGAATGTCCCTGGAGGATACGTCTTCCCAACGCGTCTATACTTAGCCTGGTAAACAGCTTGTCTTTCGTTCTCTTTGTGATCGGGGGTTTCTTCGGATGTAAAGGCTGCATTTAATCGAGTTCGAATTGTTCGCCCCAGCATTAGCTCTGAGGGGGGTCCTTGCCGTTGCGGTATGTGGAGTGGTTCTGTATACGCAAGTAGAATGCCCATTTGTTACGTCAAGTTCAGAAAGATAAACAAAACACGAAGCTTAAAACGAACAATTGTGTTCGATTAGTTCTACTTCAGGCTCATACAATAATATACATTAGGATAAGGTCTGTTGCAATCGTCAGTATGACAAAGAAACAATTGATCAGAAAATTTAACTTGTGGTCATGATGGCAGTCATCTGATCACATGACTGGAGTCAGGTGGCGTTGCGAAGTACCATCACTTCCTTCTCGGCTGGTGACCGGCCAGGGAAGTTGTAGTGTTTATATCAGCTTCTTCTGAACACACAATTCCGGATTTGTTAGGCGTATGCATACTGCCTCAGCGGTGGCAAGTAGGCTTGCTCTTACACGATGGTTTTGCCTTGGTGGTAGTTTGTAGAGAATCTGAACGGATGTTCGTCTGTTTATCTGGTAGGTCTGTATACCTCCAATGGATTCGAAATTCACTGGGGTTTCCCCCGCGTAGGTTCAAATTCTGCCTGCGATGCCAATTTGTTTTATCCCGAAAAAGCAGCACGGAGGAGGAAACTGTCCACAAACACGCACAGCACAATTAAATCGATTGAGGTTCGCGTTGCAACCGTTCAAATGTAAGATCACGTGATAGGCCAACGAGCGCTAAATAGAAGTGTGAATAGAATAAGCGAATCGATGGCACGAACAAAGCAAAGTATTTGAACACGACGGTAACGATGTCGTTGAAGTATATTTACATGCTGCACTGGGGGTATCCTAAATAAGCAGTCATATCCGATTCATAAACGATGTGAGGATGAGGAATATGAAGAATCCACGTGATAATTTGTGGCACGTCTCTGAAGAAGGCTCCTAGGATCGCTTCGAACAATCAGCTTTTAATCGTCGTGTTAAGGGTTGTTCATGGATCCTAACATGCAAGGAGTCCGCCGTTAACCACGCACATCCAGTGATCAATTTGACAACTCCGGTTAACTACTTGAAGAATTCAGAAAGGGACAGACTTGGAAGAGAGGAACATAAAGAATCTCCGTATGGCTAATGATTGGGCAGAATCCGACTACCACTGTTTACTGTTTTCTGTGCTCCACTTTTACCACTGGTAGCGGCACTGTATTAGAGTTACCTGTTAACTATTTTCGTAGAAACTCAAGTGTTCTTGGGAAGTTGTTTATCGAGGCAAAGAGTAGCCCCAGGGTCATCATCATCATCATCATCATCATCATCATCATCATCATCATCATCATCATCATCATCATCATCATCATCATCATCATCATCATCATCATCATCATCATCATCATCATCATCATCATCATCATCATCATCATCATCATCATCATCATCATCATCATCATCATCATCATCATCATCATCATCATCATCATCATCATCATCATCATCATCATCATCATCATCATCATCATCATCATCATCATCATCATCATCATCATCATCATCATCATCATCATCATCATCATCATCATTATTATACAAGTTAGCTAGAGGTGAGAAGTACCTCAGCTACTATGCCGCAATACATAAAAAAAGGAAAATGCAACAGGAGCAATTTAGCTGAGCTACCGGTAACCGATGGGCATCATTCTGATAATCTGTCAGCCGGCTGCTGTGCAGCAAAAATAGGTTACTATGCACAGTTATATAGGGCTTAGTAGTGAGGTCGCAGTTAGACGGGGAGTGGGACAAAAAAACAGCACGGACGCCATTGAGGTCGGCTCTTAGCCGTATCACCAAGTGTATCCAGCCAAATTTGTTCATCGCCCTTCGGACTTCAACCAGGTAGCCGAGACGCTTCGACCGAGGCCAGCCTCGAAGTAAGGGCCTTCATTCTTCGCGACCAAGTCATCGCTTGGCCCCCTCTTCTCTTCTTTCATCCACACCCCTGGCGCGCAAACAACGCACGTCGCGGGAGCCGGTAGACTGGTATGCGTAATAAGTGACTGAGCCATCGGAGCTTGTTGCGCGAAATGGCGGTGTTAAACGGTTCATTTGCTTTTCTTTCGCCGTAAACAAGGCATCGAACACGCTCGTTGCTCACGCTGTGTTCCCAACAGATGTGAGCTAAACTGCGAAGGCACCGGTGGTCGGACCTAACTATCCTCTTTACGTCCGCTGATCCAAGGGGCCAGGTTTCGCAACCGTACAATGAGGTCGAATGTACCGCTGCATTATACATTCTACCCTTCAGCGCCAGTGATGTCGTGCCGGCGCCATAAGTGGCGTAGGTTAGCAAAATGTCACCAGCTTATGCTGTGGGGTTCGTAATCTCATCTTCAATCCCACGGGCACTGACACAACTTCCC